GGGAGACAATGACTCCTGCCAACCTTCACGGTGCTGAAGATGCGCTTGATGCTCTCCCCACTTAAGCCCCCTCAGTCGTGGCTGGGCCATACATCGCCGTGTTTTAACTGTGCCTTGCCTTTACCTTCTTAATGGATGTTTATTATGACGGTTTTGATCCCCTGCAGCTCTTGCTCGAGTCTGAGAGTATCCGGTGGGCGATTTATTAAAAACATAAATAAATAAATAAATACATAACTTCCAGAAATTACGAAACGGAATACAGAGAGATTCAGGGACTTTGCAGAAGGAAAGAGCAGCTTTAAACCCGCGGGTGAGGGAGGGTCGGGGACCCTGCAGTTGCCTAGAAAAGGGAAGAGTCCGGAGCCGTTTGAAGGAAATGTTGATGTTGAGGGCGCACACAGCCGATCTGACGAAATGGGAGGTCCCGGACGGCAAATCTGGAGCAGCGCACAGACTCTTTTCCTTCCTCCATGAACCTAGAGAGCACCTAGGGCCGCCTCGCTCAGCAAAACCTTCCAAAATATCTCCGGTTGGCCGGGATCTGGGAAATCCATGGAAAGAACCCCAATACGATGAAGCCCCTTGGCAGGTCCTCCTGAGACCAATCCCTCCGTCCCCAAGTCACTCTGGAATCAGGAACTGTCTTTTGCCGTATGCTTTGGAGAAATTACTTGATTTTTTCTGCATATATTCTTGAAAAGGATTCTACCAGTAATAAGGGTGGCAGCGGGAGGAAAGATCCTTCTGAATCTCCTGTGGGTTCTCCTCCCTTGGGGAATTCAGCTATACAAGCTGCGACGTCACAAGGGCAGGGCCAACCAACCGCCCACAGGGACAGATTCGAGTCCTGTAGCACCTTCGGGACCAACCGGAGTTTCCGGGTATGAGCTTCCGAGAGTCAACGCTTCCTTCAACAGGTGTCTGGAAAGCTTCCATGCTGAAACTCTTGTTGGTCTCTAAGGTGCTGCTGCATTGTAATCGGACTGTTTTACTGCAGACCAGCACGGCTTCACTCTTAAACAAATACCCAGGAAGTCTCTCTAGTTTCCTAAGGGTTTGGGTATGGTCACAAGCACGTGGTTTCCCAGGAAACTAGCAAGCCCCTGCAGGATTTTTGGTTTTTTAAAAAAATATTCAGTTTTGAGGTACGTCCTTTTCGACTGACACCACATCAGAGACGTGGAGTCGTTCAACACATACTAACTGTTTAAAAATGAATAATCAAGATTAGAAGGGGCAAGAATTTACACCAGAAGAATAAGAGGTTTTTATACCCCGCTTTTCTCTCCCTTAAGGAGTCTCAGAGCGGCTTATAATCGCCTTCCCTTCCTCTCCCCACAACAGGCACCCTGTGAGGTAGGTGGGGCTGAGAGAGCTCTGAGAGAGCTGTGACTGACCCAAGGTCACCCAGCTGGCTGCATGTGGAGGAGTGGGGAATCAAGCCCAGTTCTCCAGATCAGAGTCTGCCATTCTTAACCACTACACCACAGCTGGCTCTTGCCAGTCTTAACTGGGTCAATTAAAATATGCTATTTACTTTATGTGTGTGTGTGTGTTTGTATATGTGGCTCAAGTGGTTAAGACGCTAAATTGCAGGCTGTGGAAGGTCAGTAGTTCAGCAGTTCGAGACCCGAGTGTGCCGCATGATGGAGTGAGCTCCCGTCTCTAGTTCCAGCTCCTGCCAACCTAGCAGTTCAAAAGCAAGAAATTGCAAGTAGATAAATAGGTACCACTTCGGTGGGAAGGTAACAGCGTTCCGTGAGCCTTGGTGTTTAGTCATGCCGGCCACATGACCACGGAAACGTCTTCGGACAGCGCTGGCTCTTCGGCTTGGAAACGGAGATGAGCACCGCAACCCTAGAGTCGGATTCGACTGGCTTTCGAGCAAGGGAACCTTTACCTTTACTATCACCCCAAAACCACTGCAGGAAAGAGAGAAATCTATTGTTGCCGCAAAGGGCCTTCTGATTAACCGGGTACTGCGGTAGCAGCAGCTCCAAGATCGATCGGGCCAGACTTTTGACTGGCGCCGCTTCTGTTGGCTTGGGAGCACGCGCACATTTCCGGATCTCGCAGCATTCTTCGGCCAGAGAAATGGTTTGTGCCAGTCTGGGAATGTCCGAGAAACTGTCGCCTGCACTGTTTCTGCTGTACTAACTGAAAGGACTCGTCTGCGGCAACAGAGTGACCATTTGTACAGGGGTTGCTTTATAGAAGGAGAGAGGTCAGGATCACCTTCGTCGGGCCAGACTGCAGCAGGTCCCTGCCTGGTCCGCATCAGAGTCTGAGGAAAGGCCAGTCTGAGGAGGGCAGCGGAGGGACGAGTGCAGGACCACTCCTCCTGCCGCTCCCTTTCGGGGCTCCCTGTGCCTCAACTGCGAGGGAGAGCGGCTCCTTTCCGAGGTGAGGGGCTGGGCCCGGTGGCCTCCAGTCCCCGACCCGGACTCTGCTCCTGTGCAATGGAGTGCGTCACTTCAAGAGCCTCTCCACCCCGCCAGCTGCACGCTGTGCTCCCCACCCACCCCCTTGGCGGCGCTCTCCTCTGTCCCCAGCCGCCGGGATGCCCCTCCCCACCTCCAGGGCCGGCGCTCGGTGCGACCGCCTGCCTTGCGCGTCCAGTGGCGGAGGGAGTGCCCTGCGCTCGCAGGACTGACAGAAGGGGAAACGTTTGGACAGCGCCGGGGGCCATGGGCCGGCAGGGAGAGCAAAGTCACGGGCCTCCGAGCCCCGCCTTTGAAGGGAGCGGGAAGTCTGCCGGGGCGCTCTCTCGAGGACATCCGCGAAAACTGCAGCCGAGAGCTGGAGCTCCCTGCCCCGAGCAGGCTGCCAGCGTGGTGGGGGGGGGCTGAATGACCCTGGCTGAGTCTGACCCGGCTGGGATAATGTTGCCACGTCCCCCTTGGCCACCGGAGAGGGATGAGGGCGGTAGGGTTGCCAGATCCAGGTTGGGGCACTCCTGGAGATCTGGGGGGGGGGGGGGAGCCTGGGGAGGACAGGGACCTCAGTGGGGTACAACGCCAGAGAGTCCTCCCTCCAAAGCATCCATTTCCTCTGTAGTCTGGAGATGTGCTGCAGTTCGGTGGGATCCCCAGCTCCCACCTGGCTGCGAGCTACTGGGGATCCCTGGGGGCGGGGCTTGCTTGCAACCAGCCGTAGCAGCGTGTTCTGGCCTGCCGGCGCTTTTCTGCTTTCTGCCTTGACGCAGCGCCATCCTAAGCAGAGTGACCGCCTTCTATTGAAGTCAATGGGCTCGGGAAGGGGGTGGGTGTGACAGGCCAGCCAATCAATCCAGGGACAGAGTTGGGACTCCTCTAGGCTCCTTTGTACAAGCCAGCTACCACATGGAAAGCAGGAATCGGAAGGAACCCTGGCCTGGCAACTGCCTTCCTTGGTCAGCGTCCAGTTCTACAAATCTGAATCACCCACAGTTCAGTACTCTACATTTTCTGAAAAGGACAAGTAGCGCTCCCCCCCCCCCGGCTGTTTTTAATCAGAAGGGCGCGGGGAGGTGACGCTTAAAGGTTCCTCTTAGCACCCAGCGTTCATCCCAACCCCCTTCCAGGACCCTAAGAGTTTGGGAGACGGAACCAAGGTATAGTGAGCGCAGCTGCGTATGGAAACAAAAGTCTTAAACTGATTCAATCAACCCCCTGACTCTGTTCACACGAGGGTTTTGCTGCGGCCCCATCGGTGTTCAGATGTCTGGCGCGCCATCCCGCCTGGTATACATCCCTAAGCTTTTTTTCAGTTCACGGTCCTTGTTCATCACCCCCTGGGTCTCATTTCTTTCCCGTTGTGCTCTCAGGAGACTTCTCCGTTTCCCGTGTCCCTGGACGGCCACTTTATCTAACTGTTTGTTCCTTTCATGTATGAAGAGACCTGGGGTCGAGAGAGGTCTACAGCTGAGACCCGGGGCGATTGGATTTGCCTTCAAACAGCTGCAGACATTTGAATTGTTGCAAGCAGCACCAACCAGAAACCTCAGACCATTCTTCTTCAAAAGAACTGGATGGCTCGACGACTGGCCAAAAATACGAAATCATTTAATACCGGACCCGCTTTATTTCGCGGAGGACATGGGCCCGCAGTTTCTCGTCCTGGGTTAGAGGGGATTGGCCTGATCCTAACCGCGTCCTGTGGAATCGACTTCTATCGCAATCCAAGAAACAGAGTTCCACCTAACTTGCATGGGGGGGATCAGAGTTCCTTAACTTAAATTCAGGCGAGTTTGCAATCCCGAACTGTTGATAAAACTGTTTGATGATCCAACAGGTCGATCCGTCGCAGTTTCTACAGTGTGCGGGAAAGTTGCCCTTTCATTAAAACAAAAAACAAACACACAAAAAACTTTTGTTCGGTTCTTTTCTCTTTGGTTCTTTTCTCATCTTTGGCTGCTGGCGCTGAAAGGGTCACAACCATCCCAAACCAGAAGCCGAACCAATAAAAGACGTTATCAGTTTCCCCCTCTGGTCAATTACACCGAACGCTGTGGCGGAGGGGAAGGGGGGGGGGGGGGAGATGCACCTGAGACCGGGTCACCGCACTGAGACACTTGCGAATGGATTGCAGAAGGGTGAGAGTGATCGGACGGACCGAGACTAGAAACTTTTCCATCAGGCCGGGCGGGGCGGCGGCGGGGAGGCTGCTTTTTCTGGGTTCCTCAGGCAGAGCCCTTCCCGGCGTCTTGGGTCAGTCCCTTCTTCAGCCTGGTGGTTTCCCATCCCCGGGGCTCCCTTTCCTCTTGCCAGTCTATGCACGCCTGCGCACAGGGTGCTGGTCCCATCACAGGCTTGTAAGATGAGTGAAGAAGCCGGGGTGGAAGCGGGCGGGCGGGC